GTGGCGGGCAGAGCACAGATAGCCCCATTGTGTAGCTTTGCGCTTAATTGCAAACAAACAAACCGATTTCAGCTATCAATTAACTTTCGAATAAAACAAGTTACTTACTTAGACCAAAACTGAAAATCAGTCTGGTAAGGGCCAGGTGGTTAGGGCGCTCCACTCGAAATATGAGTGTCGCGGATTCGTATCCCGTCACACCAAACATGCTCGCCCTTTCAGCCGTGGGGGCGTTAGAATATCAATCCCACTATTCGTTGGTAAAATAGTAGCCCAAGAGTTGGCGGTAGGTGGTGATGATTAGCTGCTAAATTAGGGACGGCTAGCTTTGCTCGAAATCAATAACAAACAAACAGTCTGGTAATGAGCATAGCTAATTAAATCTACATTTCTATGTTAATGCTAGAAATAAACGACATTATAACACCAGAATGTAGTTTTTTATTTAATTAGACACTCAACGTTTCACTTCACAGCTTCTTCAGGAGCAATCGCTAAAACACAAACCAAAACTGAAGTACAAAGCTTCAAATGGTTTAAAAAATAATTACTTTTTTATGCTCTTAGTTATAAAGATTAAAATGCATTTTTTGTGTTGGGTAATTTCTGTATTGATGGTACTTTCGGCCGTAAAACCAATAATATCTCACGAAGTTCGGCTTCGAAGAATTGAGTTAGTCCTAAATTCGTCTACTAAGCTAACAGTAATTAGGTATTTGTAAAATAAAAGTATAATAATAATAATAAAACTACATGTATTGAACATTCTGACCTACACTGTTAGTGAAAGTAACGTTAAAGAAATATTGAGTATACAAGAAACTTTGTGAGATAATCAAGATCTTTTTTAAATGGTATTTTGTATTTTTGTATTTCTTCTGCTTACTGTTATTTATAGCCTTAAGTTAAAGAGTAATATATAACCTGTTTTTCCACGGATGTGTATTTCGTGTCTAAACCCCGAGTTCGACTGACCAGTTCTTGTATTTCGTGTCTAAACCCCGAGCTCGACTGACCAGTTCTTGTTTGGTTCAGTTCTTTACATTGGGCACGACTATGTGGGATCGACAGTTCGTTGCCACGTGTAAAAAATGTTTAAAACCTAGCGTAGCATTTATCGGTCATTTATCAACATTTTAACAACGCGATGAACAGAAAACCGATGGTTTTCAGCTGTCAAATTTTTCGTGACGTTAGACCTTTATCTGTAATATATATCTGTATATAATCCTGTTCAATCAACAACGTAATATTGTAGGTAAATAAATCGGCTGCTCAACTGTTTCTAAATTTAGTCTCACAAGAAACAGCACCACAATTATCAGGATACAAAATATATATAGTGCAAAATACCTTTAAACATATCGTTAGAGAGGAAAACACCTTATCATATTGAAAACATAACTGAAATGACTTACAAGGTTAGACTTCAAAAGTTCCAAATACACAGCTAGCCATCTATATCTATCTGTCTTTCTTTCTGTCTATGTAGCTATATATATTAGAAAAACATATGAAATACAGAAAATATCAAATAAACATCTTCAAAGAACCCAGTCAAAACATTGCATTACTATTCAAAGAACCAAGTCAAAACATTGCATTACCAATGAAACACAGATCTGACTTGTATATATTCATATGTATTCAAATGAAAAAAAAACAACAACTTGTATTTATCTGAGTAGGCTCTTATGCTAAAGGTGCTCCGATGGATCATTCAGTGGTAAGAATGAAGGTTTATAACATTAAAAATAGAGCTGCGATACCCGCTGTGTGCACAGCACAGACAGCCCATTTACTTAGCTTCATGCAACAAGATGATCACTAGCAGTTGTTTCACAGTCATACTACGACATCTAGTGACAAGAACACAAACATCTTTTCAATGATAATTTTGCTGATATTTTTAGTTTTTAAAGACAAATCACTCTTATCACACTGTCTATTCTTTGACCAGCTAATTATAAGTCACATTTGATAAAGATAGTCCTACTTATAATATTCGTAAAGTCTTCTTCATAACTATTATGTATAATAAATGCATATCTATTAAAGTAAATACCAATAATGCTTTATAGGGATTTTTCAATATACTGTATATATATGCATATCTTTCAAGTGTCGTATAAGTAGATGTTTTGTTAGTGAAGCAAGTTTTCATTAGAGAATTCAGAAGGTTTAACGTAACAATTTTTGGAATCCCTGAAACCAATGTTGAAAACTGATTAAAATGATAGAACCTGTACGACAGGTCAAACATATATCATATTACAGCGAATATACGGAAGTTCAATCTTAGGCCTAGTTTTTGTACAGGTTCATCTTTATTGGCAGTATTAGTTATTGATATGAATATGATAACTAATAATACAAAGCAATCAAATCAGGACTACTACAAATTCTGGCGTTACGTATTATTTCTAATAGCTTTCTTTTTTTCCTCGTAAATTGAAAATTACGAACTATTACCAACAATAATTAAAAGTTACATGAACTAGATTTTATGAATGAAAACGTTTACTAGTACCTAAACAGCATTTCATTGGTTTGTTTTGAATTTTTCAGAATGCTACACGAAGGCTATCTGCACCGGCCGTCCCTTATTTAGCAAGGATAAACTAGAAGGAAGGTAGCTATTCAACACCACCCACCGCCAACTCTTGGGCTACTCTTCTTACCAACA